CTATTCAATTTTCCTTTAAATCTTTATTTTCTATTGATTACTTAATGGATTGTGGATCCCACAAGTGTTTGATCAGATTTTCTTTTCAAAAAATAAATTAAATTAAAGAATAATGAAAGTATTTTCGACCAACTTCCTAAACTACAATATACTGCTCCCGAATGTCTCACCATTGCCTCCATGCCGGCAAAGTAGCCCAGAAAAGGAACCTCATTATTGATCGTTTTTATTGTCCGTTTATGTTTTTGGAATTTATTTCTCGGGGTGCAGAATATATTGGGGTTTAAGAAGTTGGTCGGAAATACTTTTATTATTTCTAAATTTATTTTTAAAAAAAAAACAATATGATCAAAGACTTGTGGGACCCACAATCCATTAAGTAATCAATAAAAAAGAAAGACTTAAAGGAAAATTGAATTAGGCCATCAAAATTTTAAAAATTTTGTTAAAGTAATTAAAATTATTGAAAAAAATATATTTGGGAACTGACTTTGTTGTTTGAAAATAAATTGCAGGTCCCAATTCAGTAAGAAATTAATAAAAAATAAAAAATAAAAACTTAACGGAATAAAAAGTTGACAGTTAGTTGACCATTAAATTGATTAAAACTGTTGAATAAACGAAAAGGTGGTGACTAATTTTGTCAGTAAAATATTAATGATGACCAAAAATTGTAACCCCCCATAGTTCAGGGACCCAAAGTGCGTTTTGTACTATATTTTATTATGTTTTTCTTTTTAGACTAGGTTTTGTTTCCTATTTGTGTTGGGTTTTGAATTTTTCTTATTAAATTTGACCCTCACATGTTTTTTCCCTTATTTTTAGGATAATTTTAATATTAAATAATTGTTACATGTGCAATTATTTAATTATTTCTTAATTTTTAAGTTTTAAGAAACTTCTAGCCTAAGAAATCTGAATAAGAGTTGTAATCGAATTTCTCTTCCTTTTTGACCGACCTAGACCCTTCCTTGACCTATAAATAGAGGGCTTGATCATGGCTTTGAGGTAGAATATGATATGATTTCAATAATAAAAAATTTTATTCATAAACTTGTGAGATCTCTCCTTATTTGTCTTATTCTTGCGAGAATAGGTGAATTGCTCAGCTTTTCAAGTTGGAGCTTTGTTTTAGTGTGCCTTTGAACCTAAAAGGTTTGTTCTTAGGTGAAACTATTAATTAACCATTTTGTTGGAGCCTTAATCCGCTCGTTCTAGTCATAATCGTAAGGTTAAGGTTAGTTGAGAGGTGTCCAATAGAGTTGTTAACCCCAAACCTTTCTTCCTTTCCATCCCTTTCTCTTTTGTGTGTTCCAAACTTGGATCACATAAATTCCTATTGTTTTAATTAATTCATGATTTGAAGATTAAGGTGGCAAGATCATCAAGTTCTGGACATATATTCAAGATTCCGCGTATTTGGGTAAAAAAATCCGTATCAATTAGTATCAGAGCCAAGTTCTTGATTTTCTTGCTTGAATTGTGATTAATCTTTGGCTCATCCTTTGGTTAATCTTCTTTTAGTATTTAGTGTTTCCTTGATCTCGTGCATGCTTCGTTTTTTTTTTTTTTGTGTTTTTGTAGTTGGCCGTATTGGTTAGTTGGTTCGGCCATAGAAAAAAAAAATTAGAGGTGCTTGTTTGGTGAAATTTGGAGGTGCTTGTTTGGTTGATCTTCACGTGAGGAAAAACAACAAGCAAGTTGGACAATAAGCTGCTTTTTTGGTGTTTAAGTTGCTGATTTTGGCCACGGAAAAGTAAGATGCAGTAGCTTGTTTATTAAAAAAAAAAAAACAAAATTTGCCGTACAAAAAAAAAGTAAAAGAAAGAGAAGTTGCAGCGATGTTTTTTTATGTTAGGGTTTGGTCATAGGGTTTCTTAACCCTTAAACCACGTTTTAGTTAGTAAAAATAGAAAAAGAAAAGAGAAAAAGAAGTAACATAGAAGGAAAAAAAAGTGACACAAAAGGAAAGTATTTTCTTTTAATAGGTATATTAAATATTACCTTGTTTAAGAAAATTTGAGCGTGTGCATTCAATTAGAAAGTGTCTTCTATTAAAAAATATATTAAAGGTTACCTTATTTAAGGAGTTTTGGTGGTTAGGATTTTCAAATCTATAAACCCTAAATTGTGATTTGGCCGAGTCTAGGGTTCTAAATTGCCCTAATTCAAAGCTTGTTTTTGTGAATTTGTGCTCCAAGAGTTATAAAATCTTTCTGTGCAAGATCTAGCATAGTATTTGTGGTAATCTTTGATCTAAATCCGTGTTCTTCTTAGATCTTGTTGCAAGTACATCATAACCTTACTTTTTGGCCCTCTTAGTATTCTTTTATCTTGCTCCATTAAGTCGCATCTACTCTCATTGCACCAAGTGTAAGATACAAGAACCTTGGTAAGAAAAAGTGTAATCATACCTTTCTTCAAAATTATCTTTTGTCGTATTCTATGATATTTCCATATTATACAATGAGACACTATGTTGGTTTTGGTGATGGTGGAGTTTATGAGGAAAATAAAAGAATTAAAGAAGAACAACTTGAAACCTTGAAAAACCACTTCCATGAATTCCATGATACCATGGAACAAGGTCTTCTTGAGATATGACGATGAATTAAAAAGCTGCTGCAGAGGTTTGAGGAGGAGCAACGTGCAAATGAAAAAGAGATTGAAGCACAAAGACTTGAAAAGCAACAATGTGAGAAAGAACTTGAGCATGCTTTGTCTGAACCTGAAAAGGAGAAGAAAGAATGTGAAGCTTGGCAACATAAGTTCGAGCAAGAGTTACAAGATTTTGTTTAAGAAGATGTGTTTTCTAACCATCTTAATTCTTTAGTTTCTTCTATTTCTTATCCATAGATAGAAATTGTTGCAGACATTCAACCTATGGTGGAAACAAACATTGAGGAAGATATTATTTAAGAGAATATTCCTATCACTCTTGATATTTCAACTCCGATTATTCCCATGTCTTGTGTGCTTGAAGTGTTTGATGAATGAGGAGATCCAACTCTCTAAAATTCATATGAAAAGATTGAACACATAGATTTTGTGTTTGGTGATGCATTTTCAAGAGAATTGTTGGATCCAGATCCTTTCTCAAAGTTTCTAATTGTTGATGATGATTGGCCATATGCGAAATGAAAGAAGAAACCTATGAAGAATTTGTTCCTCTGGAATTACATGATATACGACTCAAGGACAAATGTACCAAAATATGATAGCAATCTCGTAGACGAACCAAATTTCATTAATGGAACCATCAACAAGAAATATCTCAAAATTTGTTTAAAACTAAAACTCTAAAAAGAGTGTGGAATATCACAAACAAACTAGACCGTTGAAAAGAATATTCTCTACCTTATGAATTTAAACAAAAGATCATAACACAAAATCCAAATAAACGGATTGAACACTCAAAATCATTTAAGATTGTACCATTCAATATAATCGAACAATTACTCATATAATTGACGACACATGCAATGAGCAAATCACTCACTCAACTACAAACAAACCACTTGAATATGTTACGATATTGGACAGGACACATTCATAACCAAGGTAATAATCAAACAAAACACATTATTCAGCATGTTATTTCCAAGCAAACTCATCTATATCAATAGAAACCAACAAGGTATCCTATAACCTTTGGACACAAAAACTCGAACAATCAAGCAATCAGACATGCTTAACCTATCGATTATCATATCAAAAGAATAAGAAAATTAGTTTTAAAATAATTAAATCATGCAATATACTCAACATGATAAAACGGTTTAACTCAAAGAACCAAGTCCCATTAGGTCCTAAGAAAGAAAAAATTGACTAACCATTCAAATCCTTCAAAACAACGAGATCCGCTCATTGTATCAAAAACCACAAAGGGTTCAAATCAATTCATTCGACTCAAAACATTATTACACTCATTCTTGTATCTACAAGAAATAAATCACATAAGCCACATAAAGATAAACTCTTGGAAAATCAAATTCCAAACCAATAAAAAATCTAATCTCCACAAAAAAAAAGTCATGTTATTCTTGGAAAAAGACTTCAAACAATTTAACACTAACCCAAATTTTCAAAGAACACATTAATCTCCTTAAGTTATCTTTCACATATATTGAATTAAAGCTTTTAGAAAACTTCAAATCAAACCACACAAAAAACCACGAGCAACTCGACAGAGAAGTCGACGGAAACACATAAGTCGACAAGGAATCCGACGAGACACACCACATTAAGTCAACATATACCTAAAGTTGACACAAGACTCGACAAACAACACCTAATAGTGATTATGGATATTTCATTGATTGAAACACCACAAACCCTAAATTTTACTCTTCTCCAATTCAAAAGAACTAAAGTCAAGAAGGAAAGATCAACACTTCCATACACTACTAAGCATACTTCCATGAAAATTCTACCTACAAAATAAATCATAAATTCAAAGAACCTAGATCTATGCACACGCACACACAAGTGCTCATGTAAACACATCTTCTTTGAAAAGACAAGGCTATGCGCATTCGCTTTTGGCATCAAGTCCAATCATCAAAAACATATAATACACAAGTTCTCAATCAATTGATCATAAAGAATTAAATCTCAACTTTCAATTTTCATAAGAAATCTCGAGGGAAGCCCTCTTCAAATCAATTGTTTTCACAACATCATTAAGACTCACTAATTTCTAGAAATCACATACACTCAAAAATTCATCTTAAAGCAATACCTAGTTTCGCCCTAAATAATCAATAAAGAAGAACTTAAGAAATTGTATTTTCTCTAAGTTTGATTTATTTTTCTCAAAAATCTTTTGAAAATAAAAGAACCTTAGTCATAGCGTCACCAATTTCTAGCACATTTCTAGGGTTTCGAACCATATTCTTAAAAGAGAATCGGATATCTTCTCAAACTTTGCCCTGATATCTTCTTTTAAATTCTTGTTGATAGCATTCCCAAACTGATTATTGTATTGATTGAGAGTAGCATTAAGCTGCGCCTTTGCTCCTAGTAGTCAAAATCCTAATCAACTCCTCATGGTTGTAAGCCTTTTCAGATATCTTCTCATGCAGTTTTTTTGCTTTGGACTTGGCTAACATCATGTTCACCTCTTCTCCCTCATATCTGAATGCAGTAACCAGGGGAACCAAAAGCTTACAAAAATCATCAGTTGTGTGATATGCAACATCTTTCTCGAGGGATCTCCTAAAGCGAGCATGATAAGCCTGCCTAGCCTTAAAGAGATCTTGTGAAGACCTGGTAGTAGCAACTTCCATAATGACCCAATTGGTAGAAGTTAACCACTTTGTAGCTTCATTAACCAAGACTGCATCACATTCAGCTGGATCAAGAGTCCATAAGAGTATTGCACGTTGAAAGTCATTCGGAAGTTCAGCATCCAAATCTTTCAGAATATATTCTCCATATGTTGAAGCATACACTTCAATAATCAACTTCCACTGAGGAGCATTTCTATGAGCCAAGATCTTGATTATGAGCACCTCATGTGTCCTGCAAAAGCCTTTCTTAGTTGTTCAGAATCCTCATCTGCTGGAGGAACTGATCGACATTGTTGACAACCTTTTTGGCAGCATCAAAGACAGATTTATCTTTATTGAAGTAAGTTCAATTACATTTAAAAATTCAGGATGCTAAAGGGAAACAATTGTAGAGCCTAAACCATATGTAAAATTCCATATAATGAAATTACAGGGAAGTATTGTTCTCTTATAGGGTCAAGAACCCTGTTCATCAGAAGGGTACGGCGCAGATGTAATCCATCACCATGACCAGGACAAATTGTGGAAACATTTGTAAGAATCAGGAAAAGGGATCTTTAACTCTTCAAATACATTACTGCTTGATGATTCCAAAAACAAAAACAACACAAAATTCCGTAAGTTAATCCTTTGACTCTATGTATTGTCCAATTATCACTCATTATCATTAAGGTAACACATTAACCAAGTTGGCGCCTTCTAGGCAAACAATGTCGTACATATAAGAACATTCAGATGTGGGAATCAACAGTATGACGTGGATATAGGTAAGGTAACCAACACTTCAATTGATGCCAAACACACCAATTTCATTTGTTTGAGCGGGAAAATATATTAAACGCCTGCCCTTTTTTAAATAGGACCTGGTAGCCATATATGGGGGTACCTAGGGCTCTTATTAGCAATAGAGAATATCGTAGAGTTTGTTGAAGATCATTCATTTGATGAAGAATCACGTGTACTTTTCCTTCGGCTCTTGGCATGTGCACTGATTATACAGCCTAATACTAAAGCACATAGATGATAATACTTATGAATTGCTTTGCAGGTAAAAACATTGAGGAAGAGTTACGAAACAGCAGACCAAAGCTAGAGCCACTTGACAATGGTATATGGGAATTGAACAGGCCACCAGTCGCGGACTTATCCAAAAGAAAAGTTGTATATGCTTAACAATTAACACTTTAATAGTTCTTATGCATCAACATTTCACCTAGAACACATAGCTAATTCATCTGATATCTCATTAATATTACCAAGTAATTAATACGACCATATCAAAATTTATCCGAAAACCTAATTATTTGTTTAGATATTATTATAATAGAATAAAGTAAATCATTTTGTACCAACAATTATTGCTATTTTAGAAAGAAATAGCTCAAACATACATTTTGCGATGATTATTAACTGCAAACGTATTAACACTATATTTAATTTATTGGCAAAACCACAACATTTTACAAAAAGAAGACAAGCTTTCTAGCACATCCTGTAAAATATTGCAATCGTAACAAGGATGAAAAACACATTAAATACAGATTTTTTTCGAAAAAAAAAAGCATAGAAGAACAAAGCACTCTACTTCTGTAATTTCTTAGCTATTTTATTAATGTGTTTCCATCAACAGCAACCTCAAACAGCATCGATTCACTTGCACCCTCATTTAACCTGGACAGAATGTTGTTGACAAGACTTTTTGTTTTGTATTCCTCAGTGCATGCAGTAAATTCTGTACAAATGAAGTACAATACACTTCACATAACGTCAATACAATTCAAAGTTCTAGAGCACAACAAAGTTTTGAAGAATATACCATTGGGACTATCTCCTGCAACAGTGGCCGGAACATCAGATCCAGAGCCCAAATCTGTAGAAAAATAACCTCGTGTCGATGATTCATCTAGAGAGGAATTATGCTTGTCAACAAGATAGATTATAGTGTAATGGACAACATCATTTTCGTTCTTGGGTGGAATGACCTTAATGTTGATGGGAAAAACTTTGCCATTAAACTGAGACTGAACATCTTCGACATTTAGCTCTATGCCCTGGAAATAAAGGACAGACAAAACACATAAATAATAAATTCCCTAAATCACGCCAAAGCAATGATCATATTCCAGGTAGGGGTGTTAGTTATTCGGTCTGACCCGAAAAACCGCCCGACCCGTATCGATTTCGGTTGAAACGATGCGGTTTTTTTGTGTCGGTTCGGTTTGCGGGTAAACCCGAATAGTTACTATCTCTAACGGTGCGGGTTTCGGTTTGTGGGAAAAAAATTCGGGCCCCGCCCGAAACCCGAATAAAGTCCATAATAGAAATTTTTTTAGTGGGCTAGTCCAAGAATTCTTTACCTATTCTCACATATTAGTCCAATACGGTTTTCATTTCTTACCCTTATCATCATTTCTAATTCATTTGCCGGACTCCTCTCCAACCACAGCTGCCGCCCTCTTCTTCTCTCCCTCCCCTTCTACTGCAGCCGCCGCCACCACCCCGCCCTCTTCTTCTCTCCCTCCTCTTCTACTGCAGCCGCTGCCGCCGCCCTCTTCTTCTCTCTCCTCTTCCTCTCCAACCACAGCCACCTCCCTCTTCTTCTCTCCCTTCCCTTCTACTGCAGCCGTCGCGGCCCTCTTCTTCTCTCCCTCCTCTTCTACTGCCACCGCTTCCGCCCTTTTCTTCTATTTTCACCATCTCTCCGCCCACCAGATCCATCACCAACCTTATCTCTCCTCTTTATTTCTTGGCCACCATTACTCTGTTCATAGCTAACACATGGAATCGAAGAACAATTGAAAATAGCACCCAAGATTAAAGATTCAATTTCTCTAGATTTGAAGCATCGTTTTTGTATTTGTTGGATTTAGATGCTTTTATTTAAATTCTGAGTGTTGGCTTTTTGAATGTAGAGCTTTGATTTTTGAGATTCTTGTTTGGTAAATTTTTATAAAAGATTCATACCTCATAAGTGCCGATTTTTGGCTATTTAGAATAGGGGATAAATTTTCATAGATTAAACACTGGATTTGTAGGGATCTTTTTCAGAAAAAGATTATGTATTTTCAATGTCAAAAAAAATTCGGGTAAATGCAAACCGAACTGAAAAAACCGATCTTATAAGCGGGCGGTTCGGTGCGGTTTTTCACATTTTCGGTTCGGTTCTCAGGCGGATTTCTTAAGGATGAAAAACCAAGTAACCCGAACCGAATAAGCCTCGAACCGTCCGAACCGCCCATATTAACACCCATAATTCCAGGATCAATAAATAGGGAGAAATCAACATCAACAATACATTTTCATCATTCTGTAAAAGTTCCATTGCTGTTAAACCAAGAAATTTCTTGGCTATAGGTCCATATGCAAAAGCAATCAAGTTGTTCCCAAAATCCACAGGTTCAACATTAAATTTACACCTACAGAAAAGGAATACAGGTTTGTCAAAATAAACAATATAAATCACAAATTCATTTTCATGCCCACGTAAAAAAGATAAAGCATTGATGAATATAACACCAAACACGCACTGAGGTGTCACTTCTAATCGTACTGACTATTATTGCAATTGTATTTTAAGGCCAAATTCACAAGAGATTGCTTGAAAGCACTTTTGACAAGCCATATACTAATAACTCTGGGCAAATCCAAGGACATTCACACTGGCCTCGGCCCATGCATTCTAAAACAACGAAATTGAAAAATATTTTAAGGAATCAAAATAGTGTAAATATTGATCAATACCAAATAATTGTTTAATCAATACAACAGACTTAGCCTTTATCTTAGCACCCTTGGGAACAACATCAATCAATGGTTTATGCTCCTTGTATTCATGAATAACAATAAGTTCTGAATCAGTAATGAGTTCATGAGTTTCCACACATTTCTGAATTACTTTAAAGAACGATGCACCCTATGAACCGAAAACCATAAAAGAGTAGGATATCAACACCATAGCCTGGACAATAAGCAGCAGCGTACAAAAGGATCCAACAAAAGAACACAGTGACAAGAAATAAAGTAAGAAACATTAAATCACCATGTGCGCAACCGATTCGCCTTCACATTCTTAGGGTCAATTAGTACTGTTGAATACTTGTTGGTTCCAACTTCAGTACCTGAAGTAATTTAGTGCAATGATTCAATACAGTAAAACCCAAACCAATTTATGTGAAGTAAAAGATTAAGAATGTCAACTTTCACCAATAACAGTACCACTGAAATAGGTAGCATGCACTCGACCACAGATGATGACTGGAAATTTACTTATTTCCTGCTCTATAACAGGTCCATACGTACACCCAACATCACCCCACAAGGCAAGTGTGACACAATGAAAACTGGAAATAAGAAAAATCTTTTAAAAAAAATCAAAACAGGTAGTGCCTTGTGGGGATAGGGCTCCTTTTATTTAAATTTAAATAAAAAAGTGGAGGCGGCAGTACATAAGACTTACCACCTTTAACAGCACAAAAAATTTTAACTTTAAAGGAGCTATTTATCAATAGAATGGTCGACTCATACTGGATTCTGCACCTCAATGTGCTTGTCCTGAAAGCTTTGCAGCTTTTCTTGAGTAACTTTATTGATTCTTTCTAGGCGATGTATAGTGGGGTTTGTGGTAGTTGAGCTTCTTTTTTTGTTTATGAGCAGAAATGAAATTTGGCTCAACACTCTTTGCAATTTGAGTGAGGATGTTTTCAAACTTTGCTTTGTTTTCTATATGGGCTGTTTTTTTCGATCTACCTTTTTTTTGCGCCTCATCCATTTTCAAGCCACACTGCCTTGCAAATTGATTCTCATCAGAAATCAGGATGACTACCGTTTCTATAAGTGGATCTTTCATAGATGCTACAGCAGAGTTTTCATCTACATATTCTTCTTTATCCATGCACTCATTTGTATCCTCCACAGCCACTACCTCTACAAAAGATTGGACCTGACTTGTCAACGGCTCTGTTGTCAAGACTGCAAGTTACTTTAGTTGATTGCTCTGACTTAGATCTTTTTCCATTTCTCCAGCAAACTTTTCATCTGAAGCATCTTCTTTGTCCTCAAACACATTAGTTGCCTCCACGATCTCTATTTCTTCCAAAAGTTGAAATCGATTTGTTGTCTCCGGCTCTGCAGACAATGTAGTGAATTTGGTAGAGAAAATATGGTCTGAACCTAAGCAAGTTTACACAGAACCAACGACCATACCTTTCATCAATTATCAAGAATTTGTGAGCACTTAAATTTGCATATTTGGTATCAACATTTTTGCGAGATAACAGTTCAATGACAACTCTAATGATATTTGGAAAAACAATTTAACTTAATAACAAATATAAATATAGGATTTCCTTCATTATAAAAAAAAAAAAAAGCAATGACCAAATCATAATATCACCTAACGACTTATCACTGCCATCGACAAATTTAGCTAATTTTGGCAACGAAGTATAAAAATACTTCGGACAGGGGAATTCTAGGTCATCTCGAAGTTCTTCAAGAAGAGTTGAACCATTTATAACCCACTATAATTCTATCCCTTCTCGAATAAAAGGTTCTTTTATTTTTGAAACCTAAGCATTAATAATTTTGTATCGCTTTGACTAATGCAATTTACTACTCATGCGCTTGATTTCATGGACAATTAATAGTTACCTTACTTTGGTAAAATGCATAATCATTTCAATTCAATAATTGATTAATAAGAAATAGAAGAAAAGATCAACGTTATAAACCGTTCTATCAACAAAAAGATAGTGTTGATAACTTCCGCAACCACTTTTTGACCATATCTCTGCCATCATTTCAGCCAAAAGAACAACTACTTCCCATCCAGTAGTTTTTTCTGGAATGTCGATAATACGAGGATATTCTTTCATCATACAGTAAAAAGAAAAATCAGGAAATAATCTTACTCTTGATGCCAATCAAATGGCCTTGTTCTATTTATACATCCCATTGAATCAAATTCATTCACCACATATAGTAAAAAACAGTCCTAATCTAACAGTTAAAATTTCCATATGCATGAACGGGAAATAGAAAAGAGATCACAAAAACTTTTGTTGAATGACTACTAACTGAGAGTACAGAGATGTCCATTCGGTAAGACAATAATTTGAAGATAGGTAAACTACTTAAACTTTCATATTAATATAATCATTCATCACCGAAAGAAAAGCATTGACAATTTCCACCTAACCTACTCTGTAAATAAAGATTACACGGAAGAAATTCGCAAAAATCATTCCCCACATACACAATTCAGTGCATATTTCCTATAGCAATCAGTCAGTATAAAATATAGAGGTTATGGTGCCTCGTAACTTCGGATTTTCACCGGAAAAATAAGCAAAAAATTCTTTTGCTTATTACGGATAAGATTTGAAGATCATAAGCGATAACAATATTCCAAGAGCGGTTGATTTTTTTCTCTTTTTAATACCAAAGAAATATTTAACTATTGATTTGAATCACAATAATATAAACTTCTTCTAATGGCCCACATATCCATTCCATACAAATCTATAAACAACGGAAATGGATTTTGTTTCCTAATCCCACAAAACCCACGTTAACCATGTACAACACAAATTTCACACTGCCTTCTTCTCCAGCAAACAAATTGTCGCGTCACGATAATGAATAGCACAAGTACTTCTAATCTCACGTCCCTTTTAACATATTAATTACCATTCTCCAGCCACATTACGAAAAGTGCCTACAGCCAACGAATGGTGATCTTAAAACTCCAATTCAAATGGAATTCTAAAAATTGTGATAATGATAATACTCCACGTAATCACTTATCACTATATTATTTCCATTCGTAATACTAGTCAGTCCATATTAGACCAACACATATATTATAGAACGAACTGTATTGACTGAGCTGCAAGTAACGCCCAACAAAATGAACATAGTAAATTTCTATGCTATATGAATCTTAACCAAAAGCATAAAAATTACTATGATTACAAAAGACGCCCTTTTTCAAAGAAACATTCAACCTAATTACACAAAACATACTACAAATTACTTAGATATTCCCAAAAACAGAACAAAAAATACCACATACATACAACAAAGAACATCAATCCCGATGAAATTGTTTTAGGACATGGGCACTACCAAGATCAACCCAAGAATAATTATCCTCGCCATCAAAATCATCATTTTCTTTAACCTATTTACTTAACAAAGTATCAGGCAAAATCACAATACCCTTTCCTCCATATATCTCTTCATCCACAAAACTCCATTGATCTTCAGAAATGATGAATCCAGATTTATCATTTTGTAACAATTTCCTGCTTCATCTGTAAAAAACAAAATCCTTCATGATACATATCATCATAAATATAAATTAACCCAATAACTTAAACTAATTCTGATAACTCATACCTATTGCTTTTGGAGCTTCCACATTAAGAACAACGCCAATATTATCAACACATAAATCGATCAATGAGATTATGACAAATTCATACTCATCCTCAACTCTTTTTTGGTCAATAAACTTTCAGAAGTACTGAAAAAGTCTTGTTCTGTAATATCTTTTCAACCCCATTGAATCAAATGTTTCATCCTATACATTATTCAACGAATACATATATGAACAATGATATTATCAATATAGCCAAACAATAATGCAACAAATCTAATGCACAATACTCAACTATTTTGCTATTTTCAATGATATTCTCTGTAATTGTATTAAGAACTTCTCAGCCAATTTATCATATACAGTTGCACATATGGTTCCACTAGAATCCGTCAAATTAACATTGAATTTGCAGCTGCCAAAAAATTAATATGGTTTCAAACAATGCAAATACAGTAATTAAATGAAAAATATATGATCCAACGAAAATAGAAAGCAATCCGAAAAGACATAGACTCACCAAGACATAGCACGTTATGTTACATCGCAATGCTTGTAATCATGCGCAATAGGATGAGTACACAGACAACAAATCATACGGAATAAGGGTTTTTCAGAAAACAGTATCCCAATACGAACACATACCAATGTCGTCTACAAATCATTATAAATTACAACATCATTCTTACAATTATCCATATAAGATACAAAGAAATATCCGCAATCAACATCACAAAGACAAAACCACAAAATACCTTAATTAATGGATTTTCATGCAAAGTATTAACAAGAACAATTAGAGCATCAGGTTCTGATTCATAATCAATAACTTCTTCCTCCTTCTTAGAAATGGTTTCATCATCAGATTTAGCACTATCTCTAAATTTGAACGAACGTCGGATCCTAGTATCAAACAACACACCTACTTATTCACTAATAAAATTGTATTACTGAAATAATGAATACTACAAACAATTAATATCAATATTCAAAGCACATGGTATAACTAACCAACACCGCAAATAATCAGTTTCAGGGAGTTTTGGATCAATAATCACTTTAGTATTTGAGTTTGTTTCAACCATTACATTTGCACAAATAAGAACTCTAATTAAATGAAAAACACAACAAGGACCTAAAAGTTTAATTACGTAAATGTCTGACAGAATATGAAATAAATGCATTGAATACCATTAAACCCATATACGATTGTATTTCTACAAATGATTATTAGAAAAGAAGTTGCCTCTTGTTCAAATGGACTGGAAGAGATAGCCCAACATCTCTTAAGAGTTCAATGACAATGCAATTGAATCTATATCACCAACAAAAATACAATAACATTAAATGTCCGAAAAATGAAGAAAAAGTAAATAAAAAATACAAGAACATTACTCATGATCAATGACTTCAAATTTATACATAATCTCATCTCTCTCATCAAATCTAACATGGTGACTGGTGATAAACTCAGTCACAATTCCAATAAAATCTGTAGATATTTGTCACAATCAATGAGATTATATTTTAAAATATAAAACACAATAATTCAAATCAAATACAGTCCCAAAAATTCCTTCTTACCAAAAGAACGAATAATACTTCCACCTAAATTCAGAATATCAACCAAAAAGGTATAAGAATATCGTGGCTCGACTAATTCTAGTGGGAGAACATGATGCGGTTTCGGATCATTTGCTTTCATAACTTAAGACACTGTCATGGAATCACAAATCACTAGCATAAAATACACCCAACCTTTTAAGAAAATAGATAGCCCCTAGAAAACAATCAATATTAGTTAAATTCTTATAACCAAATAACATAAAACTAAATTCGATAGAAAAAACAAATCCTTCTTACCTCTACAACGAATTTAACCAGTAATAAACACCTTTCAATACATAGTAACTGCGGCAAAAAGTACTACTCAGCACAATTGGTTCAAGGACATAAATAGACCATTAGGAAAGCATTTTTGATCAATTAGCAATAAATGCACCACATGTACAGTCCTAGCAACCACATAAACATACAACCGAATGACATTTGACGCGACTCGCAATTACAAACATTGTCGGAGTGAAACATTTCACTATGTATAGAATATCATGGAAACTCCTCGCGATTAAATAATTCAAATCAAGAACACACTCAGAAGAAGCCATCTAATATAAATCACAACACACTAAGACCAACAAACTCCTTTGACTAATAATTATGCATACACAAACTAAAATCACCATAGCATCCAGATCTAGATGTTAGAATTTCACGGCAAAAAAAATAAAGAAAAAAGAAAAAAGATACAGATTAGAAAGACATCAATAATTATATACAGACCCATTTTAAATATTAAATAAACACTTTCTCTCTATAGATTAATTACTTGACAAATATTTACGACTTAGACACAAACAAAACCCACCCAACCTGTACAAACAATACTAAGACCAAGCCCATTCTGA